AGGTGAATATATGAATATGTATAACTGATTCACTTTGCTGTATACCTGAAACTGACACAACATTGTAAATCAACTATATTCCAATAAATTTTTTTTAAAAAAATAAAAAAAAAAACAAAAAACGGGATAAGGAACCCAGCAGGAACCACCTCACACCAAAGGGCCCACATCACAAAGGGGATGAGGAACCAAGCAGGAATCACCTCACAGCAAACGGGCCACATCACAAAGTGGATGAGGAACCCAGCAGGAACCATCTCACACCAAAGGGTCCACATCACACACGGGATGAAACCAAGGAGGAACCACCTAATACCAAAGGGCCCACAACACAAAGGGGATGAGGAACCAAGCAGGAACCACCTCACACCAAGGGTCCCGCATCACAAAGGGGATGAGGAACCCAGCAGCAACCACCTCACAACAAAGGGCCCTATTCACAAACGGGATGCGGAACGCAACAGGAAACACCTCACACCAAATGGTCCACATTCCAAAGGGGATGAGGAACCCAGCAGGAACCACCTCACACCAAAGGGCCCACATCACAAAGGGTCCTTATCCCTTTTGTGATAGGGGCCCTTTGGTGTGAGGTGAGTCCTGCTGGGTTCCTCATACCCTTTGTGATGGGGGAACTTTGGTGTGAGGTGGTTTCTCATCCTCTTTGTGATGAGGGCCCTTTGGTTTGCAGTGGTTCCTGCTGGGTTCCTCATCCCCTTTGCAACGTGGGCCCATAAGCTCCCGGACCGTAACGGTGGCTCCCTCCTGCGATGCCGGCACTTAAAGTCGTGATGTGTCCCCTGCTTGCTTCCTGCTCAGAGTCTCTCTCTGTTCAGCCTGAAGTCTTTCTCCTTCCATCTCAGCATCCGAGGGAGGCTTTGTCCTACACGGGCAACAACAAAAATTTTCATAGAAGAAAACACCTCCTCTCCCCTCTCCCTTTCCGCGAACACACTTTGCCTCAGACAACCCCTCAGTGAGTACACAAAAGTGGGGCTGTTTTCTTTCTGATGCCATTTCAGCTGAAGTGTGAAAATATCTTTTCAAACTAGGGAAGCAACACCACAGCTAGAAATGCTTGGATTTGAAAATAAACGCGTGGCAGATTTACACAAATCCCTTGAATCTGTCAGAGATGCTTTCAGCAGAAGGTACATTGCCTGACAAAAGGGGGCTCACGCCACAGAGCTTTGTTTTCCTTGCGTAAGAAGAAGTCTGGAGGTGGGTGACTGCTGATAGCGATTCAGGGATCAGGGGTATCAGGCTCTGATTTGGTATCAGTGTCATTTTCTAGGTCCCCTAATGTCAAATAATGGCAGCATCATCCCTCGTGAGGCTGAGTTCAAAGGGGAAGCAGGGTGGCCTCGAATGGGACTCTCTCCTTCCTTGTGTCTGTTACCAAAAGGAAATCATTCCCAGGGGCCCTCTCCTCAGTGCATTTCCCCTTACATCCTACAGGCCAGAACTAGGTCATACACCCACCCCTAGGCCAGAGACAGGGGTCCTGCCCAATTCAGGGCTCTCTGCCCACCACGGTGGTTCTTTTAGGGAGGAATGGTTTTGGCTGGGCGACCAAAAATATATTCTCAGACCTCTTTCTTTGGGCGCAGAAGCCCTGAGTTCCGGACCTGGTCCTGTTTCTGCCTTACTCAGATATGAATAACATGATGAACTGGATGCATCTTCCTCAAGCCCTGATATCGTCCCTATGGGCCACTTGCAAAGGCAGCAAAGAAGGTGAGCTGGCATCAAGGGTTTCTGCATGACACTGGCTTCACTGGCAAGAAACAGTTTTGAGAACAGGTAAACTAGATCATTTCAAAGGGAACTTCTACCTTGCATGTTTTTGAGTGTCTGTAGGATTGGCTAGCCAGCATCTTTTCTTGTCTCCAGCCTTTTTTTTTTTTTCTTTTTTGTGCAGACGCTGTACAGATATAGATGCAGATACAAACGTAATTATAGACTGTGTTATCGGGTGATGTCTGAGGAGCAGATGGAGATCCATCTGTTGGGGAAGGCTCAGGAGAAGTCCGGCTAGAGCCCAGGGCTGGGGCAAACTGAGAGGGCTCAGCCCTGCGAGAGCAGGTGAAACTCAGGGATTCAGGGCTGGCTCCCTGTCCCCGACTTAGAAGTGGCTGATCCTGGCCCCAATTCAGGGATCCTGGCTCCTGTAGTGGACTTGGGACTTGAAGCAGCCAAATTTATCTTACAGTTAGATTATAGTTGACAAATGATCTTTACAATAACCAAAGCTGTGATGGAACAGTTGGCAGGGGCCCCCTTATGCGCACATCTCTGTATTCTGGGGCTAAAGGTGGCCTTCGTGTATACGCAGGTGTTCTCCACTTGTGGGAGGAGGGATCCTAGCAGCTTTGCTGGAAGACTCAGGACCATGGAGCTTAATGATTGATGCCTTTTCCTGGGTCACCAGGCCTGGGGAACAGAATGTGAGGGGCCAGTGTGATGTTGTGTAGCTTCCCCCGTAGGGCACGAGTGACACGTAATGTCAGGCCATCCCACTACTGTCAGTGCCAAGCCTGACACCTTGGTTAGAGTGGTGCTGTCAAGACTTCTCCACGCAAAGCACATTTCCCCCTTTGTAATTAGTACAGGCCAGGGAGGGAAGGAAACTACATCAGGTTCTAGGGCTGCAGGAGAGGATGGTCCCACAGTGCGCCTTCCTCAGGGCAAGCACATCCCCTGCCACTCCCGGAACCTAGAGAATGTCCAGATAACAATAAGCACTTATGATATTGACTCCCAAGGCCACAGTTTTCTCCCCTCATGCAAATTCAGTTAGGTCATAGTAAGTGAGGAATGGGTACTGATGCATTATTCCTGGCAGAGTGATTATAGCATCAGAGCTTCTGGGGATCCCAGGACCCAGCCAGGGCCGCTCCCCTGGAAAACCTCCCAGAAGCAGCGTGTGGGTGCCCCATAGTAGAAATGAACATACCCTCACTCTGTCCACTCTGACAGAAGCTTGTTTGGGGGTAACTCCAAATGACATAAATGGGGAGATTATCCTGGAGAGTCTGGGTGAGCCTGTGTAGTCACATGTGTCCTTAAAAGCAGGAGGGGAGGCAGAAGGTGAGTCCATGAGATACAACGATGGAAGGAGAGGCAGATGAGATTCAGCGTGAAAGAGAGACCCTTGCTGTCTCTGAAGTTAGAGGAAGGAGGTAGAGTCCAGAAATGCAGATGGCCCCTGGCAGCTAGGAATGACCCTCAGCTGACAGCTGGCAAGGAAACAGAGATCTCGGTGCTACAGCTACAAGGACCGTATTCTGCCAACAGCCCAAATGAGCAAGGGAGTGGATCCTTCTTTAGGGCCCCCAGAAAGGAGCATGGCCCTTCCAACACCTTGCTTTTAGCCTGGTGAGCCCTGTTAGACTTCTGACCTATAGAGCTTTGAGTTCATACATCTGTGTTGTTTTAGCTGCTAAGCTGGAGGTGACCTGTTATAGCAGGAATAGAAAACTAATACAAATGTGCTGGTGACCAACCCCTCCCTGTTTCAGAATACCCTGGTGCATAGCAACTGATGTCATAGAAAAGATTCTAGAAGAGCAGGTCACGAAGAAGGACTTAGGGTTTGGAAGCTCTTGGGTGAGGGCAAACGGGTGATCAAGGAAGTGACCTCTGAAAAATCCCGGGAGCGGAGTGTAGATAGAGCGACTTTCCTGCAATAAACGTTGAGCCTGTTGCAGTGGCTGCTCTTCCCTTCCCCTGAGGAGGCACCAAGGGCCTGCAGAAGGATGGTAAGTGGGTGTACGGTGGGCACGAACTGGGACAGGCATGACTATTCCTGCAGGAGATGCACATCAGCACATTCACTTATTGCTCATCCGATGACAGTTCTGTTGGGAAGAGTAGGTTTTTGTTCAATCATTCATTCATTCATTCACTGATCAAAGATTCACTGAGCACCTACCGTGCCCCAGGTTCTGTTCTAAGTTCTGAGGCTAAAGCAGAGGACAAGACAGGCCAGTTTTCTGCATGCCTGGTGTTTACACTCTGGTATGGGAGGTAGACAAATGAACGAGGAACTTTCTGAAATTTACTTATATTGTGAAGAAAATGAAAACTATTTTCTGGGATGGGGAAGTGCTCAGACAATCCTATTTGAAGTGGTGAGCTTGTTTGAGCTGAGACCATGACAGGAAAGAGCAAGCTCTGTGGTGGCTGGGGGAATCATGTTCCAGGCAGAAGGGATAGCAGGTGCAAAGGACTTGGGTGGGAATGAGATGGGCAGGTACAACGAAATGTGCAAGGTGACTGTGACGGTGTGAAGGTGAACAAGAGGAAGAGAGGAGTGAACGCAGAGGTGCTGTGAGGCTAAGAGACTTCTCTGCTCTTTCCAGTGACGACCCAGCTAATCACTGGCAGGTCCGGGCAGGTCCAGGTCTCCTTGTGAGGACAATGAGAGAAAGGGTCACTGGAGTTTGGTTTGTAGACCACAGCACAGAATATATTCCAGGATAAAAGGCAATGGTGGAAATAATTCAACATGACAGTGGCTGTTGTGCTCCTCATGGTGGGACCGTGATGAGTTATTTTTTTCTTTTCTCATTTTCTATTTTTCAAAATGTGTTTCATGAACAAGTTCTGCTTTCACAGTAAAGAGGAAAAAAGCATTTGAGCATCTGTATCTACTGTCAGGAGAAATGAGTGTGAAGAAGCAGCCATTGGGTTTTGCTGGAGGGAAAGAATGGGGGTGGGGGGTGGGAAGGAGACCTTGGAGAGAGCAGTTTCCTGGGAAAACAGGAGGTGAAGGGGAGGAGGAGAGGCAGGGCCTTGGGTACCATGGGTTTGCAGTGACACGAAACACAGAATTAGGATGGGAAGAGGTATTGTGATTAAGCCAGGAGGGCATCCCTGAATTGCACAGCCCCAGTCCCACAGCACCCTTCTCTTCGGCCAGAGTCCCAGTGATCTCGGTGAGAATTACCTGTGACTCCATCCACTCACCTGGCGGCCATCACCCTGAGCTGGAGAGGATGAAGGCGTCCATGGTGCTCTCCCTCGTTGGGTACCTGGTGGTTCCAAGTGGCGCTGCTGTCTTGGGGTGCTGTGTGGTGGCTAAAAAGCTCCACGAAGGAGGCCTGAGTGATTTTGAGGGCTACAGCCTCGAAAACTGTAAGTAGTCCCTCTCAGCCCCACTCCTCATGTCTTTTCCCACTGCCCCCTGCCCAGGCTTCCCCAGCTCTCCTCTGAGCCACACCCCTCCCGTTCCATCTTAGGGGTGTGCCTGACTGCTGCCTACGACAGCTTGCGCGGTGACTACACCAGCTATGGCCTCTTTCAGATCCGCAACCGTGACCGGTGTGACCACGGCAAGAACCGTTGCCACGTGTCCTGCTCTGGTAGATCCCTCCCTCCTTCCACCCTGGGGCCCGCGGGGGCGGCCGCATTGAGCTCAGAGGGCTGGCCAGCGTTTACAAGTTTGGAGCTGAGAGAAGGAGGGCCTGGCAAAGGCGGGGCTGAACCAAATCCAGGGTGGACCCCAGGGAGGCCAAGCAGAGCACTGCACTGCCAAAGGTCCGCGAGGAGAAGGGGCTGCGGTGAGTCAGGCTGGGCAGCCTGGGACGCAGCGATGGAGACCCACGTGCAGGTGGGCAGAGGGGGAGGCAGGGAGGAGCCTGACGGGTGAGGGCAGAGGGCTCTGGCTGGGCCTGATATAGAAGACACTCTTCTTCAAGGGGAGCGGAGGCTGCCACTTTGACAGGCAGAGTGATCACCGGGAGAAGATGGGCTGTAATTTATGTCTCATAAGAAGGTTATGTATGTTTATCTCCAGAATCCAATACAATTATCTGTAATAGAGGTGGTATTGAGTGCTGTGATGAAAATACGGTGGACTAGGTATCTTGAAAAACCCTCCCACTAGATAAAATGTAAAAAAGTAAAAAAACAAAACCAAAAAACCCCCCATCTTTTAAAGTACCTAGCTGAACTGGCAAGAAAGTAAGAAATCCCTAGAGGCTAAAGAGAGGAGCAAGAATGCAGATAGATAAGTGAAGACTGAAGCCGATGACGACCCTGGGGGTTTGAGGTCACTGTGTAGACAGGGTCTGAGCAAGGTACGTAGGCGCACTGGCAACGTCCAAAGAGACCTGAGAGCCCTGAGAGCTACCCTGTCAGCTGAAAGGGATGAGCTAGAAAACCCCAGAGGGAAGACACTCTAACGAAAGGGGTAAGACAGTCTTCCCTGGGAATTTGTAACCACAAGCCAACAGGACTCACAAGGCACCATCTAGAGGGGCTAGACCTTGTGCTAAGTACTGGGGGCAATTCAGAGGAATTGCATAGTTTTCCTGTCAGGCAGGGTGGGGAACAGAAAAAGCACAGGCTTTGAGGTCAGACAGAACCTTGGCTCTACCTCCACATAATCACTAGTTATGTGATTTGAGCCTCAGTTTTCTTATCTAGAAAATGGAGTTATGGGACTTCCCTGGTGGTGCGGTGGTTAAGAATCCGCCTGCCAATGCCAGGGACACGGGTTTGATCCCTGGTCCGGGAAGATCTCACATGCTATGGAGCAACTAAGCCCATGCACCACAACTACTGAGCCTGTGCTCTGGAGCCCACGTGCCACAACTACTGAAGCCCGCGTGTCTATAGCCCATGCTCCGCAACAAGAGAAGCCACCGCAACTAGAGAAAGCCCGCGTGAAGCGACGAAGACCCAACGCAACCAAAAATAAATAATAAAATTTTAAGAAGAAAATGGAGTTAATAATAGTACCTACCTGACAAGGCTTTTATTTTATTTTATTTGATCTTAGCAGCTTTTTTTTTTAATAAAACCCAAAAACTGGAGCAAATGTCCATCAACAATTGAATGGATAAATAGATCATGGTATACTCTTATTTAGAGACTCTTTTTAAAAACCAAAGTGCATGAAGGAACGTTTTCCTAAATATGTTCTTTTTTTTTTTCTAATCACACATTAATGGAAATGAATAAGTTACAGCTATAAGCAACAACATGGATAAATTTCACATAATGTTGAATAAAATAAGGTAGTCACACAGAGTACGTACTATATGAATCCACATATAAAGTTTAGAAACAGGCAAAACTAATCCATGAGCTACAGATCAGAATAGGGATGAGGTTTTTTTGGGGGGGAAGGGAGTGAGGGGTGCTCCCACAAGGCTTTTACAAGTTTTAAGTCCTGAGCATGGTGTCTGGTGCTTGATGAACACAATTTTCCTTTATTTAAAGAATTTACAAGATAGTTTGGGCATTAGGACTGATACATGTATGTATGCGTGCATACTATGCAGGTAAGTATGTTTGTATGCATGTATATAACAGATAAGTGCCGAATCAAAGTGACGTTTTATTCAGAAAAGGGGAGAGGGCACAGTGGGCTAGGTGGTCAGTGACAGGCTTCTAAGGACTATACTTTTGGATGAGCAGACGCAGGTTGGGAGATGAGTGTGAACAAAGTCTGGGAAGAGGATCTGTGCATGACCCCCAAGCTGTGGGTATCGGTACCATCAGGGTTGGCACTGTCTTTGCCTCCTGCCCCTTGACATGTCTTGAATGGTGGGGTCGTGGAGGAAAGCAGTGGAAGTGGAAAGCCACGTTGGGCAAAGTTGGACTAAGCCAAGGATTTGAGGTTCTGTTTTCCGGGCAACGAGGGGGCAATGAAATAATGTTTTAAGGAGAAGCAATCAGACCAGGTTATGGAAGGGGGGAGACTGTAGTGCGGGCAAGAAGGAGGGGGTCCCAGGTGGGAGGTCTTGGTTTCACGGTCCAAGGAGGGAATGGAAGGATGGATGCATAGACATGTTGGTTCTTCAGGGGCACCTCTGGGCCCTCTCACATGCTGTTCCTTCTGCCTGGAACAGTTTTCCTTCTGTGATGTCAACCCCTTTTCCTTACCTACTCCACTAGATGTCACTTGGCCCAATAACCCTCCCGTGACCCTAATCCAACACTGAATTAGATGTCCCCACTCAATGCTGCATCCCCCATGGTTCCAGGTATCCTTTGTATTATAATTGTCTATAATCTGTATCTACCCCCTTCCAGACTGTAGGCGTTATGAAGGCAGGGATGGATTTATTGTGTTTCTCATTCTATCTCCACTGCTTCTTCTATAGCCTAGCACAGGATATTCACTAAACATATACATTTTTTTGGGCTGCATCGGATCTTAGTTGTGGCACATGGGCTCTTTCTTGCAGCGCGCAGTCTTCTCTCTAGTTGTGGCGTGCAGGTTTTCTCTTCTCTAGTTGTGGCGCGCGGGCTTAGTTGCCCCGCGGCATGTGGGACCTTAGTTCCCCGATCAGGGATCAAACCCACGTCCCCTGCATTGGAAGGCAGATTCTTTACCATTGGACCACCAGGGAAGTCCCCATCATATACATTTTTAATGAAAATATCATTATAAGAATTATAAGAAAAAATCAATAGATTTAGTAAAAGATGACCACATCCTGCTAACTTCCCAGTGTTGTCTGAGAAAAATACAGGGATAGATTTATTCTTGGAATCACATGGAAGCCTCTCTAACGTGAGCCCCTGGTAGCTTCCTTGACATCACTCTGACTTAGCTGCCAAGTGGTGACATGGCATCATTCCACTTCATTTTCTTCACAGCTTTACTGAATCCAAATTTAAAGGAGACAATTGAATGTGCCAAGAAAATTGTAAGTAGCCTGTATTAATGACTTTCACCCACTCATCAAGTCCCACTGGTTTGGGACTGTAAGTGTATAGCAACCAAGATTAAGATGAAAGATCCTAAAGAAACCAAGCCATGTTTTCCTCTATATTAGAACAGTCCCTGGCACAAAATACCCTATGTTAAGTTTTTGTTAAATAAATTATAAAATAGAATTGTCATGGCTTTATACCTACATGTTGGTCCTTCTTGGAAATCATTTTGGTATTAAAATGTGAGACAGGGCGTCCACCTTTTTATTTTTCAAATGGCTGGTCGGTGGTCTCAACACCCATTATTCGTTAACCTATTTTTCTCACTAATTTAATAGACTGCATTTTAGAGTGGGAATCCCCTTGTTAATGCTAACTGTCTTCTGGGTGTTGGAAATATCTTCCATGCATAGTCTTGACTTTCCAATTAATTTGGAAGCTTGGCTGGCCCCCTAGGGCAAGCACTAATGAGCTAAAACCATCTTCATTGTATGGCACTAAGTAGAGATGTGCTGGGCCAGTCTGATCAAGGTCTCTTACGTGCTCAGGATTCCCAGTGAAGTGAGCTCTCATTAAGCTAATAAGCCGCCATGGCTTTTCCAAAGCTCAGATCAGGCTGCTCTGTGGAACTTGGGGCGGACAGGAAGGGAGAAGACCCAGGCTCCCCCCACTCGCCTCCCCAAGGAGTTCCTTCTGCAGTGCCTGCCAGGGGCTATGGAGGGCGCTGCAATTTCTGAAAATACGTCTGTGTGTGTTTTCCCTGCTGCTTTGTAGCTATGAGGGGCCAGGGGGTCGCCGCCCCTTCTCCAACTGTGTGACCCCCTACCCTGGAAGACTCATGGAGCTTCATGCCCGGTCGAGGGATGGGACGAACTGATGTCTAATGGCCTGCAGTGGCCTGGTGACTCCCACCACTTCTAGGATGGGAGAGGAGGACCTGGGGTCTGGATTCTGGCCAAGGGGCTGGGAATAGGAGGGTCATGTTTGGGGGACCAGGAGAAAAGGTTAGAGAAACTCAGTCCAGCTGACCTAGGTTGAAGAGCTGGAAGGAATTTTGGAAGGTGAGGGGTGAAGCAGGTGCATGGAAAGGTAACAAGAGGCCGTGGCTGTGGGACAAGTGTTCCAGTTTCAGGACTAGGATCTGCCCAGTACTCACCATACATGTCACAGAGCTTCTCTGATGCTCACTTCAGAGAAGCTACAAATGCTTTGCAGGGTTGGAGAAGGATTTCGCAGTTCACAGCTCAGCCTCTCCATCTTGCAGTGTGGGGTTTACGGGAAGGGGAGATGTCGTGAGCAGGATGGAGGAAGCACCAGCTCTCATGCCAGCGGGTGGTGGAGCCAGCCAGAGAGAGAGACATACTTGGGATGCAAGAAAGCTTTCAGAACTGTGCCCACTCAAATGCTCCAGGGGCCAGGCAGTGGGTTTAAATTGGCCAGCGGGGGCTGAGCTCCCTGGAGATGCCGAGCTGTGAGTATGGGGAGCCCCCTCCGGTTCTCTCTCCCTGGCCTTCCTCCCCGCAGGACCTCCTGGACCCTCAACTGCCAGGACTCTGACACTCTGGAGCGGTGGTTGGACGGATGCAAGCTGTAGCTACTGGGAAGCCCTCGCTGCACTTGCCCCTGGCATCTTCCTGGTGAAGATGCTCTCCTGTTCACTGCCTTCACTCATCCCGTTGATTATCTCACCGCTTGATGGCTCCGGGTGGAAAAGGGCAAAATTTGCCTCATCCAGGGATGCAGGATGCAGTGTAAACCACTAGTTATTCAACCTGGTTCAAAGGGCTCCGCCTGTCCTATTATACTGTGATTGTTACGACGAAAATCACTATTTACCATTATCATGCCTCCTTAGTATTTAATCTCAGGTGGAGGATTCGAAGGAAGGAAAACATCTGGAAAATAAGATGTGCCCATGATAGTCAATATTAATAGAGAAAGGAGGAAAAGATACAGAGGATGGGAAGGGGGGTCAAAGAAGAGAGGAAGAGACGCCAGCGCCAGCTACGGTGTCCACACTGGGACACACAGGTGGCAGTAAGGAGACCACAAAAATCCTCTCTGCACTTTCGTGGAGAGACTCCAGTGACAGTTGATCTTTCTTATGAAATGTTAAGTTTTAAAAACTTGTCAACACATACTTGTATTAGAGAAATTGTGCAAAAGACAGAAACATAAACAAGAAGAGTCCTCCTGTGATCTTAGAAGCCAAAGACAATCAGTCACTGTCATGCTTTGGTTGCATCCCCTTTCGGTCTTTTTTCTGATTTGGGTTTTTCTTCTTTTCCAACAAGGCTGTGATAATGCTCTAGAGAGAATTTTGTACCTCACTTTTTAGAAAGGAAGAGCATGGTAATGAACCTTTCCCTACATGTATTTCCATTTTAAGAAGAAAGGGGTTTATTTCCAAAGCTTCATGGCTCACAGAATCCTTGCACGGAGTGGAGCAGCAGGTGACAGTCTGGGCTTCCAGGGCGCACATGCCTGAGACATGGAAGCAGTAGTAGCAGCAGAGGACCTGTTCCTCGGAAGCCAGTTCATTTGCGGGAACCCAAGCTATGATGGGGGACCCTTGTACAGGAGGGAAAGAATGGAGGTGGCCCTAGAGAGCCTCTCTGCAGCAACACTTCACCAAGGTGCTAGAGCCTTCAGAATGAAATCTTAAGGCCAGTTAACATGCCATTGGATGAATACACCAGATTTTACTTAACTTTTCCCCCTACTGTCAGATTTTTAGATACAGCCATTTTTTAAACCATTACAAAGAATGCTGTAGTGCCTGTTTGTGGCTTCCCCCTTTTCATTGTCTGCACTTTTAAAACTAAACAACATACATTTCATAAGGAAAACTCGGAGAGTACAGGGAGTCATATGGAAGGAAATTTAAAATGCTCATCATCCCCCCACTGGAAGCAGAAGTTTTCATTATTGTCAGGTAGACACGGTTGGGGGCACCCTGCCGCGGGGATGGTTAGTGTCAACCTCTTCATGTGTGCTCTTCCTGACTTTATTGTGGGTGTGGGCACATTTTTTCCTTATAAACATGAACTACTACTGTGTATACAGTTCTGTATCTTGCCTTCTTCACTTAATATTTCGTGGTCTAAAATTTCCATGCCTATGACAGGGATCCCAGAACCATTTTTAACAACTGCACCGTATCCACTTAGTGGACAAACTATAATGTATATAAGCCCATCTTGTTTCCCCGGTCAATCTAGACAGAAAGTAAACAATATGAGTGAATCATGGCCACCTGAAAGGCAGGCAACACTGAGAGCAAGTCAGCCCTTCCTTTTGTTTGCTTCCTGGTCATTTTCAGAAAGGAGAAGAAAGAGCTGCAAGTTAGAATTTCAGGGGCAGAACTTTTCATCATTCTCAGTACTGATGGATCAGCTTAATCAGTTGGTTTGGGGTGGCTTCCCCTACCTCTAGAGAAAAGGGTACTTGATAGTTCCTGCCCACACAGCATGAATCGTACAGTAAAATTCCTGCTGGCGGCCTCCCTTGCTGTTGAGGTCATTGAGAAGCTTTTGAGGCCTTGAGAGCCCCTTTCTTCTTGAGCTGGGAACCCACATTGTTTCCGAGGTTGGGTCTGCGTGCGATAACACACCTGACCTCAAGCCAACCTTATCCCAGACATTAATGACCACCTACAATTGATTAAAACACTATCTCCTCAAGTGCCACATCCAGCGTGCTGCCGCCTCCTTCCAGCCCATTACTTCTGCCATGGCTCGTCATCGTCCTCTAATGGCCACTTGTGTCAACATGGGCATGAGGCTTGATGACAAAGCAAATGTTAGTGTATTGATTGGACCGGCCTCTCTAGGGTTTCCCAACACCAGCTCCTGGCGTGTTGCTCTCAAAGCCACTGATAATGGGCGTTACGATGAGCACTCATCCCAGGGCCAGATCTCCCTGTCTGCTTTACAGAATGATCAAAGCTAGGTTTAAAAATATCACTAACAATGATTCCTGTTACTATTCTATCACCAGCAACTACCATATTAACGCCAGTTTTACAAATAGTACACATAGGCCCTTACATGCAGTGTTTTCAGAACTTGCAAAATCTTACAGGGTAGGTATGAAGGTATGAATCATAACTATATCATAGGTGGAGAAATAGAGGTTGGAGGAGCTAAATAACTCAGCTTTACTCCAGCCTGGTAAGCGATGGAGATGGAATGGGTATCTCCCCAAAACCTAGAGCTTCCCCACACAGCCCCTCCAAACTCTGGTACAGTACTGGTGTTAATTTTCCATCCCATTCATTAGCTGGAAAATCGGGTCTCCAGCTTTTTAATTAAAGACTTTGCACTGAAGACGTTTTAGGCAACTGGCACATAATAATGGGTCACTATCATAGTGCCCAAGTCAAAGGCTGGAAATTGAGGCCCCAGGAGATGAAGTAACTTTCTCAGCTACGGAAAATCAATAGAGAAGGCAGCGTGGTGACTTGCAATGTTTCCACACTTGTGTCATGATAAAAATCACCTGGAGTGGCTGTAAAATGGTGATTCCTAGGCCATGCCCTTTATCTACTGAGTCATAACTGCTGCAAAGAACTCTGGCCTGTGGATTCTCAATGTACACCAGTTCCTGTGAGATGGAGAATGTCTACTACCTCCCTTCTGCCTTCTAAATTTCTGCAAATGTAGCTCAGTGGGGAAACCAAAACTGCATCTGGAACCCTGTTGGTGCAGGTACCTCCCAGGCCCCCAGCTCCTCCAACCCCAGGGAAAACAAAGAAGCAGGAGTATTGCTCACGACACCATCTTTTCCTCGGTGGGAAAGATTCATTTACTTGAAAAGAGACAAAAAGGATTGTACAAATCCTCAGAGAGGTCTGGTTTAATTAGGTTAATTTGTTAAGTACTTATTGCAGCGAAAAACTTTAAGTTAGTGTGGTTTGTTTCTTTTAATTATTAATTTTTACATCGCTATATAAGCTCATAATATAAAGAGCAAAATAGGTTTTGTGGTGAAAGGGACGAGCGTTCATGGTAACGCACCCATGGTGATTTGAGAGCATCACACCAGGAGCTGGTGTTGGGAAACCTGGGGACCTTGCCACTACGGCATCTCTGAGAACAACAGCTCACAAATCCAGCATGGATGAGCCCTCACAGGTTTTGTCTACACTGCACGTCCCCACCCTCTTGGCCATCCCTGGCTGATATATGGGAGAACCCAATTTTGGCTATGGCCATCATGTTCTCTGCCCTTGAACTGAGGGGCTGGACCTTGGGTTGCTAAGTCACGGACAAGTCAGTTCACCAAAGAGGTCATCAGCAAACCTATTGCTGAGTCCGCAGACCTGTCCCTGGATCTTGCCCTTCTCCAGCCTTGGGTTGACTGTTCCTTTTAACTCTGCGGGATCCAGCAGTATTTACACAGTAAGTACTGCTTTTTGTCTCATTTGACACCCTAAGAAACTTAATATGATGGAGATTTAAAAAAAAAACAAACAGCAAATGATTTACACAGTGAGGGTTCAAAGAGATGCTATCATACAGTCAAGGTTACCAGCCCTGTGTCTGCGCAAAGTAGGTCATCAGGACACGCAACACGTATCTCGTCTCCCTTCCCCCTTTCCTTCTCTTGGGTACCCTACGCGGGAGAGACACACTCATTACCACAAGAATGCTCTGGAGTGTTGTCCTATTGCTTCAGGAGCCCACAGCCCTCTGCCCATCTCATCTACATACTAATGCAATTTCTCAGTATGATATATCGTAAGCGTGGCTAAAAATCCTGGAAGGTTTATTAAGTTCCCTAGTTCTTATAGATCAGGGACAATTTTTTGTAAATTCTTGCTTTTGCTAAACACTTTAATATGCCATCATCTAGGCAACAAAATTTTCCTCGATTCGATTTTAAGGCTAATCTGGGGAAGAACTTTCCCCCTTCCTCTCCAACACTATTAGGAAAGGCCATAAGTCCTGATCAAGAACATTTGCTGGTGCCTCACAGGGAACTTCAAACCTGATTCTGTTTTGCAGCAGTACTGGGTCCTACTTTCTGCCCCAGACCTGATGTCTTGTTGAGGTGCTTGAGGCTACTAGGGGAAAGAGCCCTCAATCACATTTGGGGTCCTGGTACTGGCCATACAGAGAGGCCCCCATCAGGGAACACTGACCCTGGAGAATGAGTCACTCATCTGGTTCTTACCTTCAGCCGTGTAAGCTCAGAGATTGAATCTTTTCAGTCCCAGAAGTTACTGATGCTTGAATAAACATAACCCACGCGGGACCTGAGAACAAACCAGAAAGAAAATTACTAATTTCAAGCAGCCTGGAGGTTGGCAGCAGTGGGGTGAGAACATTCTCTTCTTGGAGGCATTGCTCCTCAGGAAGCCAGGTTATCCGATGGTGCCTTGGTGAACATGAACTCAGAAAGCGAAATTTTAATGGCTCCAGCCTCTCTCTTGGGCAGTGGGTGGGCAGACTCCACCAATGTGCAACTTCTGCCTCTCCTTCAGGCTTCCCTGTTTCATCAGCCTTCACCAAGGGACCCATTCTCCCTGCGAAGGAGTGATTCCATTGTGGGCCTGGGGCCTCTGCATTTCTGTTCACTTGATCACGAGCTGATTTTCTGGTGTAAGTCTCAAGACATCCTTAATT